TTTTTTTTGAGAGTACATAACGGCGAGAAGGTATTCATGCGAATAGATTGAAGTGCTGGCAATAATTTTAGTTTGGCATAAGTTTTGCTTTTTTTTCCGCATGTGTTAGTGATTAGTGTTTGTTTTTTTTTCTAAAATGACTGGCGGTCTACTTTCAAAATAATTGGAAGGTTTTTTTTGGTGTGTGATTGCGCGCTTGCGGTGCAGGTCTATATCAGGTAGCTTACTTTACATATACGTAGCTATTCGGATTCGTAACGAATGTGTAATTGTAGTATAGCAAAAATGATTTTGATAAGCAGATATTTTTTTGGACCGAAGAATATGTGTGGAAACGAATGTGTAATGTGGTGTGGCAAGAATATTTTTTTAAGCAGGTTTTTGGACAGAAGAGTGTGTGTTTGTGTAGCTGACGAAAGACGTGGGCAGGTATAAAGATATTTTGGCAGAAAAAAAGGACCATAGAAAATTTACTTAAAAAACATGAAAATATACATCAAATTTAATACAGGCCGTAGTGGTTTTCGGCGTCAGGGTCCGTGCCATCGCTGTCGTAGTCGTACTCGTCCGGGACGTCGTACGGCCAATTGGTGGTGTCTGGATTGCCCAGAGGATGGTACCATGGCTGGAGATCCTCGTGGAGAGAGCAGTCCAGGTTCGAACAGTCACTGCTGCATCTCTCACGGTATTGCCCGTGCTCCAACTCTTCCCATCGGTCCCACGGCTGATCTTCGTCGGGGATGTGGACCTTGGGAATATCCAGCCATATCTGCTCGAGGCTGAAAATCTTGGCTTCTTGGCCAAGTCCTACCTGTGCGACACGGCCTTGCAGCTGGCGGGGCAGCTCACCCGCACGTTCGTGGATATGGTTAAGCACTGTCGTGCCAACCGGGCACTGCTCGCAGTAGCAAAAGGTATTATTGATGCTACTTTCGAGCATCAGAAGGCTTCTGAAATCCTCGATGTCACTTCCGTCTGCCCCATCAAAGGCCGACGTTGCTACGTTAAGCGCCTGATACACATAGGCGTCGAGTCTATGTGCAGGCGTGCGGTTATACTGCTGGCCATGCAGTATTTCGACCGCTGAACTTAGGCGCAATATGTTTGAGTGGCGATGTCGAGCTGTAAGGTCTCCTGGTCCTTTACCGAGGTAGACGTAGACGTCGTGTTTGTCTCCCTCAGTAATGTGCTGGTGACGGATGTAGTCGTTGGTGAGAAGGTGGTGATGGATCTTTGACAGAATTGCACGGCTGAGCATTGTTGTTTTTTTTCGTTAAGCTGATTTCTGTAACAATATAAATATTGGTAATGACAAGGCTAGATTGCAAAAGGGTTTAGTAAGGATTAGAATTTGTTAGTGTTAGGGCATTCTAACCCTTGTTATAAATTGGATGAGAGTGAAGGAAAGAGGAGC